GCATGTTTATTCTGACCTGATCACCAATTGCTAAAAAGGGAGGAAAAGAAACACTCTAGGTCAGGATAAAATTTAAACAGTCTGTAGAGTTGAGGATACCATGCATCCTTTGCATTTTAAATCATCATGGATTCAAGACATCATAGGGACTTCCCTGGTGCACAGTGGTTAAGAATCTGCCTGCCAATGCAGGGGACACGGGTTCAATCCCTGGTCCAGGAAGATCCCACATGGCACAGAGCAACTAAGCCTGTGCACCACAACTACTGAGCCTGCGTTCTAGAGCCTGCAAGCCACAACTACTGAAGCCCACATGCTCTAGGGCCCATGTGCCGCAACTACTGAGCCTACGTGCTGAAACTACTGAAGCCCGTGTGCCTAGAGCCCATGCTCCGCAACAGAAGAAGCCACTACAATGAGAAGCCTGTGCACTGCAACAAAGAGCAGCCCCACTCGCCACAACTAGAGAAAGCCCAGAGGCAGGAATGAAGAAGACCCAATGCAGCCAAAAATAAATAAATTAATAAATAATAAATAAAATTTGTTTTAAAAAAAGACTTCACAGGAGACAAAAATTAAATTTTAAAACAGAGAACAAAAGAACCCAGCAGAACATGGAGAATATGATTTTCCTAATGAAGTTTTACTATTGGTGAGGATGACTCTATTACCCTGGTGAAATGAACAGAACACGCACATTGAAATCAGACAAACTTTAGTCAAAACCCAAGCTCTCGAATAGCCAAAGCAATCTTGAGAAAGAAAAATGGAGCTGGAGGAATCAGGCTCCCTGACTTCAGACTATACTACAAAGCTACAGTAATCAAGACAGTATGGTACTGGCACAAACACAGAAATATAGATCAATGGAACAGGATAGAAAGCCCAGAGATAAACCCATGCACATATGGTCGACTTATCTTTGATAAAGGAGGCAAGAATATGCAGTGGAGAAAAGACAGCCTCTTCAATAAGTGGTGCTGGGAAAACTAGACAGCTACATCTAAAAGAATGAAATTAGAACCCTCCCTAACACCATACACAAAAATAAACTCAAAATGGATTAAAGACCTAAATGTAAGGCCAGACACTGTCAAACTCTTAGAGGAAAATACAGGCAGAACACTCTATGACATAAATCACAGCAAGATCCTTTTTGACCCACCTCGTAGAGAAATGGAAATAAAAACAAAAATAAACAAATGGGACCTGATGAAACTTCAAAGCTTTTGCACAGCAAAGGAAACTATAAACAAGATGAAAAGACAACCCTCAGAATGGGAGAAAATATTTGCAAATGAAGCCACTGACAAAGGATTAATATCCAAAATTTACAAGCAGCTCATGAAGCTCAATATCAAAAAAGCAAACAACCCAATCCAAAAATGGGTGGAAGACCTAAACAGACATTTCTCCAAAGAAGATATACAGATTGCCAACAAACACATGAAAGAATGCTCAACATCATTCATCATTAGAGAAATGCAAATCAAAACTACAATGAGATATCATCTCACACCAGTCAGAATGGCCATCATCAAAAAATCTACAAACAATAAATGCTGGAGAGGGTGTGGAGAAAAGGGAACCCTCCTGCACTGTTGGTGGGAATGTAAATTGATACAGCCACTATGGAGAACAGTATGGAGGTTCCTTAAAAAACTACAAATAGAACTACCATATGACCCAACAATCCCACTACTGGGCACATACCCTGAGAAAACCACAATTCAAAAAGAGTCATGTACCAAAATGTTCATTGCAGCTCTATTTACAATAGCCAGGAGATGGAAGCAACCTAAGTGTCCATCATCAGATGAATGGATAAAGAAGATGTGGCACGTATATACAATGGAATATTACTCAGCCATAAAAAGAAACGAAATTGAGTTATTTGTAGTGAGGTGGATGGACATAGAGTCTGTCATACAGAGTGAAGTAAGTCCGAAAGAGAAAGCCAAATACCGTATGCTAACACATATATATGGAACCTAAAAAAAAAAAATGGTCATGAAGAAACTAGGGGCAAGACGGGAATAAAGACACAGACCTACTAGAGAATGGACTTGAGGATATGGGGAGGGGGAAGGGTAAGCTGGGACAAAGTGAGAGAGTGGCATGGACATATATACACTACCAAATGTAAAATAGATAGGTAGTGGGAAGCAGCCGCATAGCACAGGGAGATCAGCTCGGTGCTTTGTGACCACCTAGAGGGGTGGGATAGGGAAGGTGGGAGGGAGGGAGACATGAGAGGGAAGAAATATGGGGACATATGTATATGTATAACTGATTCACTTTGTTATAAAGCAGAAACTAACAAACCATTTCAAAGCAATTATACTCCAATAAAGACGTTTTAAAAAATAAAAATAAAAAAAAACAAGCTCTACCAATTACTTGCTGTGTGACTTCAGACAGGTTATTGGGTTGGCCAAAAATTTCATTCGGTTTTTTCCATAAGATTTTACAGTAAAGATGAATGAACTTTTTGGCAAACCCAATACTAACCTCTTCAAGCTGCAGGGTTTTCATCTGTAGAACTGGGGTTAAAGTAGCTGTCTTGCTGGTGGCCCTGGAACCAAGTTAGAGCACGTGGACGACACGCCCACCTCAGTCCCTGGCTCACAACAGGAGCTGAGGATAGTGGTAGATCCCTTCTCTCTTTGCTCTTGTATCTTCTGTTTCTTTTGTTATTGTGGCTTATTGTTGGGTTCAAGTTACTCCCCACTACTGATTATGAAACTATTCCTTAAGGACCAAACCCTGACTTTTCATGGCAACACTGAAGGAAAATGTGATGCCTGTCAAGTCTGGATATTCCATTTCCAGGTTATTACTGACAAGTAAATCCTTCTCAATCAATTGCAATCCACACATGCTAAATAAAGTTCACATAACATTCATTCTTTGGAATATTAAAAAGGAGAGAGAAATAGATTAAGGGAATGGGGGTTGGAGAAGAGCTCCACTCCACTGACAGGAGGCACTTTATAGATCCATGGGTTCATTCCCATCATCTTGCAAAGTGAGTGGTCTCTCCCATCACCTCAAGTGAAGGCCCCTGAACTCATGCAGAGGAGCCTGAAGGTCTGCCTCTAACCCAGTTTCAGTGACCAAAACTTCAGAAAATTGATAAAGTGGTTGTCTCCTTGAAAGAGCAAAGTTAGATGGGTCTCTCATGGGCCAAGAAGCAGGAATCTGGGTTTAAGCCAAGGTTGAAATCTCCTTTGATTACTTATCCATTATGCCTTCACTTCCTTATGCCTTAACTTTTTCCTAATTGAATAGAAGCAATGTACCATTGTAGGATGTATTCTGACATGAAAAAATGTTAATAATAATGTGCATGAATTAGTACACGGTCAGAAAACTCTGATCCTTTTGTGTGTCTCTGGTTATCCATCCTGGCATGTATGATACGTTGTTACAATAATGGCCCTAATGAATGACGTTTTCCTGTGTCCGCTTCTCTTTGCAGTGTGGCTTGCCACTCCTCCTCTCAAGTAGAATCTACGTCCCCATCATTTGAATGTTAGCTGGGCTTGTGACTTTTTTGGACCAATAGCATGTGGTAAAGTGAGTGTGTGACTTCCAAGGCTAAGCCGGAAGATGCCTTGCAGCTTGTGGAGAGGCCCCATCGAGAGCCAACACCAACCATCAGACAAGCAAATGAGGTCATCTAGGAATGGCCTGGCCCCAAGCTCATCAACCAACTCTCTGAGAACATGTGAATGAGTCCAGCCAATACTAGAGGAGCAAAAGGATTTCCCAGCTGAGTCTAGTCCTGTGACACTATGAGTTATAATAAATTTGGTCTTGGCCTCATGTTTCTGGTAGAGCTCCTAAAACCCTTGGAATTTCCTAAGTGATGAGAGTAACAAAGGTGTCTTTTGTTATGTTAATGAAGTTACACTGGAACTGCACCTAAGGATGGAGGCTGGTTGTGAGGAGAGCCAACCATGTTGGTCAGAGGATTAGGACTTTCAGTCCCAACCTCCTGACTTCCCAGGAGGGAAGAAGGGCTGGAGGTTGAATCAACTGCCAATGGCCAATGATTTAATCAAATCTGCTTGTGTAATGAAGCCTCCATAAAAAACCTAAAAGAATGGGGTTTAGAGAGCTTCTCGGTTGGTGAACGTGTGAAGATGTAGGGAGAATGGTCCATTGGAGAGAGCACGGAAGCTCCGTGCCCCTTCCCCATACCTTGCCCTGAGCATCTCTTCCAGTTGACTGTTCCTGAGCTATACCCTTTTATAGTAAACTGGTGATCTAGTAAATAAATGTTTCTCTGAAATCTGTGAACTACTCTAGCAAATCAGTCAAACCCAAGGAAGGGGTCATTGGAATCTTCAACCTATAGCTGGCCCATCAGGAGCACAGGTGACAACCTGGATATGTGACTGGCGTCTGAAGGGGGGCTGCAGCTTTATAGAACTCAGCCCTTACCATGCAGCACATGACCCTATCTCCAGGTAGACAGTGTCAGAATTGAGTTGGCATGTAGGACACCCAGCTGGTGTCAGAGAATTGCTTGGTGGTGTGGGGAAAAAACCCACACATTGCAAATGGGTGTGGAATCATAAGCCCAAATCGCCAATGCATGGAACTGTGATCACATACACAGTTATAGTTTTAAGCTACTAATTTCTGGCTTGTTTTTTTACTCAGTAATAGATAACTGACACACTAGGGGAAAGGACCTAGTGTGGCAAACTTTTGGTTCAGAATAAAAGTGAAGCACAGGAAACCAATCACCCCCACCTCCCATTTTTGTTACATCCAGTTGCCTTTTTTTTCATTCTTTTTTTTTTTCCCTTGGTAGTTCTGCAACTTTTTTTTTTTTTTGCGGTACGCGGGCCTCTCACTGCTGCGGCCTCTCCCACTGCGGAGCACAGGCTCCGGGCGCGCAGGCCCAGCAGCCATGGCCCACGGGCCCAGCCGCTCCGCGGCATGTGGGATGCTTCCGGACCGGGGCACGAACCCGTGTCCCCTGCATCGGCAGGCGGACTCTCAACCACTGCACCACCAGGGCAGCCCTCTGCACTTTTAAGATGACTAATCACCCTTATTTTGCGATGCCTCCTGGATTTTCTTCACTACTTTCCTCCCCCGACCCCTGACCTCACAGTCTCCTTCCCCACCACCTTTGCCAGCTTCTTTTCCTCTAGATTCTCAGCATCCCAGTTCTTGACTCTCTGCTATTCTCTCCCCGTCTCACTCCTTTGGTGAGCTCACTCACTCGTGTGGGTTTCCCCTGACAATTAACTCTATTCTGAAGTCAAACAAGTGTTTATCTATTGCCTGATCTCTGCACATCATTGATTTTCAATAAGCCCCTGTCAGTTGCTTTTCATATGGACCCATATGGAAAATAAAATACACACATGGACTGTGGATCTCAGAATTATGTTGGACAAAACTGAAAACATCTGAAAGTCTCTTACGTGGTTCTGATTTCAAGAGATTTCCCACCTGACTGTGAAAGTCTGCATATTAAATTCCAGTCCAAATATTTCCCATCCACAATGAGGAAGCCAAAAAAAAAAAACACAACAACAAAAAAAAGCCAGTAGGAGTACAACTCTTATTGTCAACCCAAAAACACAAGATGAATGAACGACTCAAGTGTTAAATACTCACATGTCACTGTGGCTGCAATACCTTTTCGCAATCTTCAGTTAAGCACTCAGAGATGCTTCTGCCAGTTCCAAACAGGAATGCACACGTAGCTCTGGGCTTCAAAGGCTGAAATAAAACAATAACTTCAATGTTACAAGTCCTCAGAGTGAAAACAACGGAGATGTAGCCTTTTTCTGGCTGTTGTGTGTTTCAATCCCTGCAGGCCAATTAAGTTCTTTCAAAGCCTCAGCGAGGGCTTGAAGGTTAATTAAAATGTGTGATTTAGGAAAAAGGGGAAAAACCAAACTGAGAATGGTATATAGGCACATACTCCACCAGCTGCCTTGGAAGGAACATTTAATTAACCAGCAGTGAGGCACATCACCGGCTTTCTCCCCATCTCTGCACAGATACCAAGGTCTCAGTAGGTGATGTTTGCAAAGACAGCAAATGGAATGTCTCTCCATCCCCCACTCTGTCCCCTCCTCTTAGACAGGGATCTTGCTTTTCAGTGTCTTTATTATCATACTGGGCTGACTTCCTCCCACAAATAGTAGATCCTTCCCCATTGACCCTCCTCCAAAGCCCCACAGAGGAATTTTTCTCATCGCTCCTATTCCTTCCACACACAACTTGCCCATCTATTTTCTGCTTTTCAGAGTGGCAGCTATTTGGTTAATTAGTTAATGGCCTGTTACTATGTTAATCTCTGGAAACACCTACATTTAACTGAAGGACCCATAGGGCTTGAAAGCCCATCAATGGAAAGGGGTGGCCAGCCTCCGAGAAAGCCCCAATGATGCCTGCCTCCTGGTATGCACACCTGTATGTAATCCCCTCCCACATTTTACCAGGGCTGGTCTGGGTGATCAATATCATATAACAGAAGTAATACTGTGTCACTTCCAAGAGCCGGTTATTTAAAAAAAACCCTTCCATCTTAGGTTTCCTCTCTCTTGTATTACTTTCCTGTAGGGGAAACCACGGAGTAGGAGCCCTATGGAGAGACCTTCGTAGTGAGGAAGTGAAGAGTCCGGTTAGTAAGCTTGGAAGTGGTTCCTTCAGCCCCAGTGAAGCCTCAGAGGCTGCATATTTTATTGATTGCTTGGCTGTGACTTCACGAGAGATGCTGATCTAGAACACACAGTTAAGTTGCTCCCAGATTCCTAACCTACAGAAACTGACATAAATATATTGTTGCTTTAAGCCACTACATTTTGGGGTAATTTGTTATGCAGCAGTAGAGAGCTGATACAGAAAGTCTGGATCTTTCCCAAACTTTTCCTACTGAGCAGCACACAGAGGTGACTTGCTGAAGTTGAGTGAGCTGAGCACCATTTTCCGGGTGTTTCTAGGAAGAAAAGAAGAGAGCAGACACTTCGAGAAAAGTGTCACATGGGGAGGGGAGAGTGGGATCGAGAGGAGAGTGTTGCTGGGCAGAGTCAGCAGGTGCTGGAGAAGGAAACAGGTTACTGCTCAGGAGTCCAGGTTTTCTCCCTCGTCAGGTTAGGCTTTGAAGCCTCCTCTGTCCCACCATTTCTCTCTTCCTCAGGCCTCAGCCACCATGAGGCTGGTGAAAAGCACGTCTCAGGACATGAACCAGGACCCTCTGAGGTTCATGGCAGATGACTGGGGCCAGAGCCAGGACCCAGGGAAGAGGTCTACGACTGGAAGGGACATCAGTTACTTTGGATGCCAGACTGAGGGTTCCTTCAATACTGAGACTGAGGTCAAGGTAAGCACAAACCAGCTGTCCCTGAAGGGTACAAGCTCAGCTGCAGACTGGCTACATGCTGCTCTCCACCAGCCTGCCTGTCTCCCATGATCCCTGCCAAGGTGTGTATCTCCTTTCTTCAAGGTTTCCTTTGAGGTGATGATACACATCTTGTTCCTTTTGCATGAAATGAGCTTTTGTGTGATGATTGCCCAGTTGTTAGGAGAAAGGATCTGGGGCGTGTGAGAGAGGAAGGTGGCAGTCTTGTTCAGTGGACTAACTTGCAGAATCACGTGGGCATTTACTAAAATGCGGATTGCTCAGTCCTATTCATGCATTCATTCATTTAATACATAGTTGTCAAAAGGTTTCAGGCATTGGTATAGGTGCAAGGATACAGAAGTAAATGAATCAGATATTCCTGTGTGAATGAAGCTTACATCAGAGATTTTGATTCAGGAGAACTGACTCTTCCTTCTGTGGCTGCAGGATGCAGCCAGGTTGACCAACCACTGGCCTAGTCCAACCTTAGACCCAACAATGTGACTGTCTTTTTTTCAATACTCACTTTTTTATTATGCAATATTTGATACTTACTAAAGAATATAACATACATGTTATAGAATATAATAAGAGAATGAATGCTTGTGAACCCACTACTGACTTATACACTAGAACATCATTCAAACTGTCCCATCCACCCTTGCTTTCACCTCTCTCCTCCTGCTTCCACCAGAGTCCTTCACCTCCTTGGTTAAGTTTATTCCTAAGTATTTTATTCTTTTTGATAATTGTAAATGGTATTATTTCCTTAATTTCCTTTTTGGAAATAATGAGCTCATTATTAGTGTATAGAAAGGCAACTGATCTTTTTAATGTTGATTTTGTAACCTGCAGGTTTACTGAATTTGTTGATTATTTCTAACAGTTTAGGACCATTCACTGTGACCAAATGCAATTTATCTCTAGGATGCAAGGACTGTTCAACATATACAAATTAATTAATGTGATACACCACATTAACAGAAAAAAGAATAAAAACCACATGATCATCTCGATAGATACAGAAAAAGCATTTGACAAAATTCAACACCAGTTCATGATAAAACTCTCACAAACTAGGTATAGAAGGAACTTACCTCAACGCAATAAAGGCCACATACGAAAAGCCCACAACTAACATCTTGCTGAAAACTGAAAGCTTTTCCATTAAGATCAGGAACAAGATAAGGATGCCCACTCTCACTACTTCTATTCAGCATAATACAGGAAGTCCTAGCCACAGCAATCAGTCAAGAAAAAGAAATAAAAAGGGTTCAAATCGGAAACGAAGTAAAGTTATCTCCATTTACAGATGACATGATCTTATATGTAGATAACTTTAGACTATACACACACACACAAATGTATTAGAAGTAATAAATGAATTTAGTAAGGTTTTAGGATACAAAATTAACATGCAAAAATCAGTTGCATTTCTATGACGTTCAAGTATGATAGATTAGTGGCAGTGGATTCCTCTGATTAGTGGAAGATGTCTTTGGACTGAATCTCAGATAAAGAAAAGTTGCCTCCTACCTGTGGTATTTTGTAATTGGTATTGGGTGCAGGTCTTATCTTTTGGGGAGAGGTGCACTGTACAGTAGAAAGAGCATGGACTTTGGAGTCAGACAGACCTGAGTTTAAGTTCTCTTCCCATCACTCCACAGTTTCTGACTTTGTGAAAGCTATTTTCTCTCGCCAAGCCTTTGTTTCTCGTCTGTAAAATGAGATTATTAATATTTACTTCACAGACTTATTGTCAGAATGAGACATATGATGTATATGAATATAGAATGCCTAAAGTTTAGTAGAGTTTCATAAAATTTGGCTGTGAAAGGTGGCAATAGGAGAGTAAGTATAAACAGTAAAAGCAAAAGTATTTATCAAGCACCCAAACCTTATGTAAGAATTCTTCCCTCTGAATGCCCAGACTTTTCAGTCACTCCTCCTTCCTCAAATTTCTCAGAAGCTCTAAACAGAGGAGAGAGTGTGAGCACGTCAGTGTAGAAAGGGGAAAATATCTACTCCCCATGGTGTTCTTAAACTTGGCCAAACCCACAGTAGCTTCCATGTGTTTGTGACTGAGAAGCAATATAGTAGAGTTGGAAAAGCATGTTTTGCCACCAGATCCCTCTAGCTGCAGATGTATTCTCTGCAGCTTACTAGTGGTGTAAGGTGAGTAATTCCTATGAGCCTTGGTTTACTCATCTATAAAATGGGAATTATGTCCAGCTCGTTAGCTTATTTTAAGTAAGACAGTATACATAAATCTCCAAACACAGTTCCTGGAATCTAGAAAATGCTCACCAAATACTGATGTCCTCTCTTTCTGTTCTCCCATCTGAATCATTCAGAGAAACTCTAATAACTCCCAGAGATGTATAAAGAACTCCAGGGTTTATTGCATGATTCAAGAAAAAGGTTATATTATAACCTTTTTGAATGTACAATCACTTCTCAAGAAAGAGGAAATCGGGCTTCCCTGGTGGCGCAGTGGTTGAGAGTCTGCCTGCTGATGCAGGGGACGCGGGTTCGTGCCCCGGTCTGGGAAGATCCCACATGCCGCGGAGCGGCTGGGCCCGTGAGCCATGGCCACGGGGTCTGTGCGTCCGGAGCCTGTGCTCCACAACGGGAGAGGCCAGAGCGGTGAGAGGCCCGCATACCGCCAGAAAAAAAGAGGAAATCATTTGTATGCCCTAATTTTTATATTATTTTTGCTCCACTTCCAGATAATACTTAAAATACACAGGATTCAAATAAATTTATGAAATTATCCAAAGCACAGATGAAGCCTATATGAATGTTTAACTGTTACTTATAGACCAAGAACTAGCTCTATGGAAAAGATTTAGAGATGAAAGGGAACTTAGAGCACGTGCAGGCTAAGTGCACACTCCATGTGGGAATCCCAACCAGACCACCTTTTAGAGACAGAACGGTACTGGAATACCTGGATTCAAATCCCAGCTCCGCCCCTAATTATCTGTGTGACCTTGGGCAACAAACTCTCTGAGCCTCATCTCCTCATCTCTAAAATGGGAATAATTATAGGACCTGACTTTTAGGGTTGTTGTGAGAATTAATAGATCTGTATCTAGAGGGAAAAAATGAAGTACAAAACAGTTTGTATAACCTGTTCACCGTAAAAAATGCAATTATTGTGTGCACTCATATGTATGTACACATAGAAGAAGATTCATTAGAAACTGGTATCATTGGTTCCTTCTGGGGAGAATAGCTTGGCATTAGGGATGGAAGGGACACATGCTTTTCATTACACCCTCTATCTTTTCAATTTTGTAAAGAAAGCTTGTATTATAATGTATATATATATAATATATGTATGTATCAACAGTGTCTATTTATACTA